TTTATGTACGCGATTTGCATTCCCAGGTAGGGGGAGCACGCACGCCATCCTACCCACTCCGCCATTGGCGGCTTTGGATGTCAATCGCCGGCACCCACCGATCGCTGAACAACACTGATAGGAGAGAGACCTGCGTAAACAACACAGGTCTCTCTCCTGCCAGGAATAACATGCTGCTGTGTATTTCTTTGCACAGCAGAGAAATACACAGTAGCATGTTTCCCTAGTAAAACACACACAGCACATGTTGTAAAAATACAGCACAGCACACAGTTAACCCTTTGAATGCTCCAAATGTTAATCCCTTCCTGCCCAGTGTCATTAGTACAGTGTCAGTGCTTTTTATTAACAATGATCACTGTATTAGTGTCATTGGGATGTCAGTGGCAGTTAGCTCCCACCCAGTGTCATAATGCCCGCCGCAAGTCGCTGATCGCCGCCAATATTAGTATATATATAAAAAAAAAAAAAAATCCGGTTTATATACTGCCATTTGTAGACGCTATAAACTTCACGTAAACCAATTAATTTACACATTTATTATTTTTTTTTTTTTTAGCAAAGACGTAGCAGAATACCGGTACATTCTGGCCCGAATTTATGAAGACATTTTTTTTTTTACATTTTTTTATAGCAAAAAGTCAAAAATATTGTTTTTTTTTTTTTAAAATTGTCAGTCTTTTTTTTTTGTTTATAGAACAAAAAATAAAAAAAACGTACAGGCGATCAAATGCCACCGAAAGAAAACTCTATTTGTGGGGAAAAAAAGTACATAAATTTCATTTGCGTGCAGCAATGCATGACCACGCAATTGTCAGTTAAAGTAATGCAGTGGTGTATCGCAAAAAAATGGCCTGGTCAGGAAGGAGGGTAAATCCTCTGGAGGACAAGTGGTTAATCACCAAGTCTCTGCTTTCCTTTATACTTTTTCTGTTGTTCGGAGTAATAGAGATGCCACAGCCACAGAGATAACTCAAAGTGCAAAACTGAACTGCATATAAACACTTAGTCCTCATGCATTCTGGGCATCAAACCATTTTTAGGGGCATTTGACACATTTTTTTTTGTACAAGCATAGGCCTTTACAGGCATTTAGAGCCAGAAAAAATACTCCATCAGTTGCGCGTTCACGAGAGGAGCGTTCCAGCGAAAAAAAACAAAAAAAAACCACCAACTGCATGTAAACATAACTGAGTGGTAGGCATATTTAGCACTTGAGCATTCATTTCAATGGCCAGAATAAATTGATAGTCTAGCCAATGAAATGAATAAACCCCTGGTGTGCCTGAACACACCTAAACTTGTTTGCAAAATGTGGCTGTAGACACCTTTGTAACACTGGTTTTCTGGCATTCAAGTGGCGATATCTCTCCTTTTAGCCACCTGTTTTTTTGATCCTCAAGAGAAGTTTTACATTAAAGCGGAGTTCCACCTGAAAAATATAAAAATAAAAGTCAGCAGCTACAAAAACTGTAGCTTCCGACTTTTAAAATACAGACACTTACCTGTCCCTTGGTCCAGCGGTGTCCTCACCACGACTGGTTTCACCGACCATCTTCTCTCCCTGGTGCCGGCACGTTCATGCGTGAGAAGCTCTGCGCTTTGTGAATGGGCCCGTAGTCTTCTGGGATCTGTCACGTGTGCCAGAAGACTATGGACAGGGAGGGGAGACAACTTCTGCTTCCGATCTCCTAGGCAATCGCAGTGGGAGTGGGTACCTGTCAAATTCGGGTACTCGCTCCCTAAAGGTGCCAGTCCTTAATGGGGAGCGGGGGACAAAGACTTAAAGCAGAACTTCCCCTTTTGGGTGGAGCTCCGCTTTAATATTCCACTGAAAAGAGGAGCAACTGTATGCCTTAGAGTTTCCACTAGTCCCATTGAGTTGAATGGGGTAAAGTGCGTTGTTTATTGCATTGACATACATTGGGGGCTCATCAGAAATTAAAGTGTTATTATTAAACCCACAACAGTAAAATCAGTCTGTTAATGCAGTAAAGCATGCTTGTTATACTCACTGTAGAATCTAAGGGGTTAATCCTCCGCATTGTATAAAAAGGATGTTTGATCCTGTCTTCTCTTATACTCCCCTTCCAGTGTCTCCTAAATATCTCCTGATAGAACAGAAGCTTGGAGGTAAGCTGCACATGCTCTGTTTGGTGTGTATTGCTAGAGAGTTTTTTTTTTTTTCTTGGGAGAGTGCATGTGATCAGCACAGGGCCAATCGGCACTGTCCAGACAGGTCCGGGATCCTGCATCCTCCTACAGGAGAATGAAAATTACTCCTACAAGCTTTAACCAGTGCTTTGCTGGACACATTGATAGAAGTTACAAGACTGCTGTAACTGCTGATAAGAAAAGGTATTTAGCAGTTTGTGTTTACTGAAATAATTGCATTTCCATGTTCTATGTACTGTGGGAGACCAGATATAGTGAATGCAGGGTCCGGGGTTTAGTAACACTTTATTGGAATGCCTCCTAAAAACACATATGCGATGTGAAGGTATAGGTGTGAATCCAGCCAGAAAGGTATAACGATTCAGGGGCTGCTTGCACTTGTATAGGCAAGTTGTAGTACAAGTTCTCAAGTGTTTTAATGCACTTTAATGTGCAGTGTGGTAATACATGGTGAATGTGCAACCCCATGAAACATTCATTTGAAATGGCACTCATCATACATGCATACTCAATACATACCTTTCTGTGCACTGCAGCACATGCAGTAAAAATACTTGCAATGCACTGGAGAAGAATAGTTTAGTGTATCATTTGGTCAATGGATACACATTGGTGCAATTGAAAAGTGGCACCGCTGGCTATGACATCCTCAGAAACCTCACTGCTCCATAAGCTCCTGTAACTCCCCTCCACTTGGGGCACACACCATGTACCGACCAAAGGAGCCCATTCACACTCAAAAGTAACAGGCCCCCATTGCCAGGCATCCCATGTTGCATATCCCTGCCCATAGACCTCCCCACTGATGCATTTCACCCTTACAGAATTAAACTTGTCTGCTGGCATTTTGTCTTGCTGGTACGCAGTTGATGGGGTTTCATGTCTTAACACATTACATGTTAGGTTTGGTTCACACCTATGCTTTTTGCTTTTGTTCTCCTTTTTAATGCTTTTTGCATTGTGCTTTGCGTTTTACATGCTGGTTTTAGCCACATATTTACCACAGTTTGCGTTTTTTTTTTTAGCCTTTTTTTTTGTTAAAATGAAAAATGTTTTGTTGCTGGGCAGAAAAAAAAATGCAAAACATGGCAAAAATTCACTACATGTGTTTCAGCAGCTTTTCCATTGAACTCTATTGTAGCAGAAACTCTGCTTCTTGCGTTTAAGCCTGGGTTCACATATGTGTGGTATATCGCATGTGATTCGCACAGGAACTGCACCACATTCCTGTGCAAATCACATGTAATTTGTGTGTGGTGCGATTGGAGCCATACGTTTTGTATGGCTCTATACGCACCGCACCGGCATCAAAAATGTGCAGGACCCTTTTTTGGGTCCTCACTAGAATCGGATCGCATAGGTACTCACACCTATGCGATCTGGTTCTGCACATCACACCACGTTTTGCGTACCGCTTTTGGGGTATTGTTAACTTAACATACACACCTGCAGCGGTTCACATGAACGCGGTGCAATTCTGATGCGGTGAGGAATTCCCACTGAAAACGCTGTGAATTCTGCAACGCACGTGTGAACCAGAGCTAAAAAAGTCCCTGACCCTTTCCAAAAACGCAGCAGCTCAAAAAAGTATAGATGTGAACATATCCCATGGAATCCATGTTAAATGGATTGTAGTGCATTTCTGCAAAGAAAACGCATTGATGTGAACCAAGGGTTACCCATATTCCAGGTGTAACATGTAACCTGTTATGGTCAGACTGGCCCCTGCTCCTCCCCCCCCCCCCCCCACTAGCTGTCAAATTTAATCTCTCTGTGTTCTGTGAATGAGAAACTACAAGTCCCAACAGTGTTTGCGGTTGTCATCTTGTAGTTCTCAATTAACTACCTTGGCTCTGTAGAGTGCTGTGGTAGTTCATTGAATCTTGCTGTCAGTATACAGTATCTGCTTGCCTGTACATCCTGTGCGGGCAAGCAGATATACTGACAGATATGCAGGAGGCCTGCATGGCACTAGCGATCTGTTGGTGCAATGCTTTACAGGCTCCTGCAACAAAAAATAATAAAATGAGTGTTTTTTTTTTTTTTTTTTACCTGGAAAAAAAATGTGCATTCATTATTTTTTGCATAAAGGTGAGCTATTCCTTTAGGGGCCAGTTCACACTACATGCGTTTTCAGTTGCTTTTTTCTGCATCCAAAAGAATAGGAGGTTATATGGTTGTCAATGTCCTAGTTCACATCAGTGCTTGCAGTTTCAGTGCGTTCTAGTTGCTGAAAAAAAGTAGAACATGGTACATTTTTTCTGGCACAGAACTGTACTGGAAGCTGGAACACGTTAAAACACATTAAAAACGCACCAAAATGCATCAAGTACGCATATGTCCCTTTTTAAATTGATGAAAAAGAGAGGGGAAAAATGAACTGGAATGCATAACAATGCACTGGAACGCATCAAAAAATATATATATATATATGTGTGTGTGTGTGTGTGCATATATATATAGATTTATATTTTTATATATATATATATATATATATATATACACTGTGGGAACTCGCTTCAAATGGTAGAGCTTTGTTAAACGCATACAGCAACTCGCTTTCTTTTTTAAGGCCTTTTTAGCCCACTTTTATTTAAAGAAAATGTTCCATAAAGCTTCCCACGCAGGGGTGTCCACCATCAAATACATGCAAATGAAAATTCAGCCTCCTGGCTTGTACACAGTTTTATGTCTGTCTCCTACAGACTCTTTCCAAAATATGGCTCTCGCACACAGCTGGCCACTAGCACACAGCTAGTCTGGCTCCCACCTCTCCTTGGTGAAGCCCTCCTGACTCCAAGGCAGAGACCTCCTGTCTGCCGGGGTGGAGCCCTCCTGACTCCTGTCTGCCGGGGTGGAGCCCTCCTGACTCCTGTCTGCCTGCCCTCCTGACTCCTGTCTGCCGGGGTGGAGCCCTCCTGACTCCTCCTGACTCCTGAGCGATCAGTATCCTGGCCATTCCCAAAACCTGGTCCCAGGATTGGAGATTTCATCCCTCCCAAATAGCTTTGAAATCTCCAGGCTCCAGGTCCCAAAATGGACCTTACAAACAAATGAGGAAAGTGAAAATCCACTTTCCTCTGTATCAAACATGTACCCCGGAGCCCCTCAACCTGCCTTTTTGAGAATCCTGGGTGAAATAATCTTTCCACATCGTGACAGATCGCCACACTGTCACAATACCCAGGGATTGTGTGTGTATGTATGTGTGTGTGTGTGTGTGTGTGTGTGTGTGTGTGTGTGTGTATATTTAATTATTTATTTTTCTAAAAAGTTGTGCACGGGTATAAAGCGCTGCATGGCCCTCTGAGACAGGAATTCAAGGGGATAGAACAGAAAATACAAATTCAGCATCAAAGGGTTCCTAGGAATTTAGTTTAAATTGTTGCTAATTATGCAGGCAGGCATGAGTTCCTATTTCCCAATTGTAGTAGTGATAAAAAAATGTTTTTTCTGTATCCAAATTTGTGCGCTTCACATGGTATGCATGTGCTAAAATGCTCAGCAGTAATTGTAGGAGCTGAAATCTCTGTTACATAACTGGTGGCTGGAGGAATGAAGACAGTCTTTGAATCTACAAGCTTTTGTACTGGGTAGGGATTTAGCCTTCACTGCCCAGACTTCACGCTGTTCAGTGATTGCAAGAAATGCCAGTGGAAGAAGAACATGTAATTTTCTCAAATTATTCCTTCCTGGCTTCCAGGTAATGCAAACTAGTAAGAGATAATGCAGTGAGAGCATGAATAATAAAATAAACGTGATTGCTTTGCGAGAAAGTTAAGATAGCGACCTTGTCAAAGGGGGGCACTGAGAGCTTTTTGGAGCCAGATGTTAGATAAAGCAGCAATAAACCTGTGAAGGTGTATTTAAAGGCTGTCAGTACAAAGAATATCTTTTATGCTCTCCAGCACAGCGGTATCATGGGACTTGTATGGTATAAAGACTAGGAGGTAAGGTGTAATGAAACACAACTCCTGTCCGCTTCAGTGGATTTAAAGGGGAATTGTCAGAATTAAAATTCATATTTAGGAAAAGTATTTGATATTGTTGGCAAATGTATGTGTATTATTTTGGCTACTCTGAAGATAAAATACTTAAGAAGACCTCTTCATGGGCTTGGTGGACACATTTAAGTGGTATTGTCGAAGAAGCAGGTGAGGTTGCATTTTTTGTAAAGGGTGCAGGAAACTTGACAGGTGCTAAACTGTGAAATCAGCATATCCATCCAAGAAAGGTAACCTTTCCAAATATATGTATGCAGTATATTCTGTATACTGCATGAGCTGATTGACCTGCCAAAGGACTGGTGTTCCTGTCGCTCTTGTAGATTTGAACAGAAGAGCTAATTTGGTGTCCTGTGTTTTTCCCTACTAAGTTAAAGGATAGCTGTACCTTTTTGTACCTTCCTCCCCATTAGAGTGATATTCAATGAGCAGCCCTTCACAACCTGGTACAACCCATGCTTGTGCTTTAAAAACCCCCCCCCCAAAATATTCAGTGCAGATAGGACTGCATAGTCCTCTACTTGTTGGCTGGCCAGAGACTCCGGCAAAGCAGTGTCCTCACTAGTGTGACATAGACCTTATGGTTTGTTTTTCCTTAGAAAGCCTAAGGCAGGCCATACATTTTACAGTTTTATTTCCTTCAACCATGGGTTGTAGGGAAGAAAATTGCTAGATTCTCCCATCAACACAGTCCGTGTTCATGGCAGAATCCCTTCTACTGTGTTCTGCCAGAGGGGAGTGTGGGGACCCTTCCCCACCGGCAGAATAAATGATCATGGCTGGCGACTATAGCCATCAACAGTGATCAGGCAAAAAAAAAAAAAAAAAAAACACCCCAACAGGCTGGTTGTACTGAAGTTGATCAATGGATCAACTTCAGTACAACCTGCCTGCCAATAAAAGGATCAACATTTGTGGTTGATGCTGAACTGGCTGAATTTTTGATCCATCTATGGCCAACTTAAGTAGAAAAATCTGTCCCCTGTCAGCATGCCCATACTCCCTGTGTGGAAGCAGTGGTCTGTCTGCAATGGTCCAATAGGTCTTCATTTGTCTCAGAGTTAGAGCTCTGCATTCACTTAACATACACAAAAAAAAAAAAAAAAAAAATATATATATATATATATATATATATATATATATATATATATATATATACAGTGGGGATCGAAAGTTTGGGCACCCCAGCTAAAAATTTGTATTAATGTGCATAAAGAAGCCAAGGAAAGATGGAAAAATCTCCAAAAGGCATCAAATTACAGATTAGACATTCTTATAATATGTCAACAAAAGTTAGATTTTATTTCCATCATTTACACTTTCAAAATAACAGAAAACCAAAAAATGGCGTCTGCAAAAGTTTGGGCACCCTGCAGAGTTAATATCTTGTACTGCCCCCTTTGGCAAGTATCACAGCTTGTAAACGCTTTTTGTAGCCAGCCAAGAGTCTTTCAATTCTTGTTTGAGGTATCTTTGCCCATTCTTCCTTACAAAAGTCTTCCAGTTCTTTGAGATTTCTGGGCTGTCTGTCACGCACTGCTCTTTTAAGGTCTATCCATAGATTTTCAATTATGTTGAGGTCAGGAGATTGTGAAGGCCATGGCAAAACCTTCAGTTTACGCCTCTTGATGTAATCCCCCGTGGATTTCGAGGTGTGTTTAGGATCATTATCCATTTGTAGAAGCCATCCTCTCTTTAACTTCAGCTTTTTCACAGATGGCATCAAGTTACCATCCAAAATTTTCTGAAATTTTATTGAATCCATTTTTCCTTCTACTCGTGAATGTTCCCTGTGCCACTGGCTGCAACACAACCCCAAAGCATGATTGATCCAACCCCATGCTTAACAGTTGGACAGAGGTTCTTTTCATTAAATTCTGTGCCCCTTCTTCTCCAAACGTACCTTTGCTCATTCCGGCAAAAAAGTTCAATTTTAACCTCATCGGTCCACAGAACTTGTTTCCAAAATGCATCAGGCTTGTCTATATGTTCATTTGCAAAGTTCAAATGATGATTTTTGTGGTGAGGACGTAGAAGAGGTTTTCTTCTGATGACTCTTCCATAAAGACCATATTTGTACAAGTATCTCTTTATAGTGGAATAGTGTACCACAACTCCAGTGTCTGCCAGATCTTTCTGGAGGGATCGTGCAGTCAAACGTGGGTTTTGAATTGTTTTTCTCACAATCCTGCGAGCTGTTCTGTCTGATATTTTTCTTGGTCTTCCAGATCTTGCTTTAACTTCCACTGTTCCTGATGACTGCCATTTCTTAATTACATTCCGAACAGAGGATATTGACATCTGAAAACGCTTTGCTATCTTCTTATAACCTTCTCCAGCTTTGTGAGCGTCAACTATTTTCAGTTTCAGTTTTCTAGACAACTGCTTAGAAGAACCCATGGTGCTGATTGTTGGGGCATGGTCAGATGAGTCTGGGCATTTAAAACCTTTGAGATTGACATCACCTGGTCTTCCCAGACGATGATTGAGAAACAATCCATGACACTGGCAGGTCTCAGCTTTACAAAGGGGGCAGTGCATGCTATAAATTCTGCAGGGTGCCCAAACTTTTGCAGACGCCATTTTTTTGTTTTCTGTTATTTTGAAAGTGTAAATGATGGAAATAAAATCTAACTTTTGTTGACATATAAGAATGTCTAATCTGTAATTTGATGCCTTTTGGAGATTTTTCCATCTTTCCTTGGCTTCTTTATGCACATTAATACAAATTTTTAGCTGGGGTGCCCAAACTTTCGATCCCCACTGTATATATATATATATATATACAAACCTGCGCTAATAAAAAACACAAATAATAATAATAAAAAAATTAGTTGTGAAACATAACATACACAAAAACCCTGATACTAGGCAATCCACAATAATACATAAAAGTGCAGCGCTTGAAAAAGTGACAAATAATCATAAAGAAACAGTAAAAAGTGAATCAAAAATTATAGTCCATCCAAAAATGAAAGAAAAGTCCCAGAGGTTGTGATGAAGCAAAAGAAATCCAAGGACAGCTGTTTTTTGTCTTTTGCTTCATCACAACCTCTGGGACTTTTCTAACTTAACATACACACCTGCAGCGGTTCACATGAATGGGGTGCGATTCTGATGCGGTGCGGAATTCGCACAGAAAAACGCTGCAAATTCCACACCGCATCAGTGTGAACCAGGGCTTAAGGTAAGCGTTATTATAGGCTTACCTGTAGGTACAAAGCAAAAAGGGAATTTACTCCCACTTTAAAATAGGCTTTAGTCTGAGCTTTCCAGTCACGTTTTAGCTCAGTTTTTTTTTTTTTTTTTTTTGGCTGTAATGTTTATATGTTTGTTTTTCTCCAGTTATATATTATGATGAATGCTATGAATGTGTTTGTGTACTTTGCCTACGAACATTGCAGATCTGTGCTTTTAGTTAAATGAGTGAGTTTTTTTTTTTTTTTTTTTCCCCCTAAACTTTTTTCCCCCCTAAACTAGTGTCCGATATGCCAACCAGCTATTCACTTCGTAATGTCAAGAAAAAAAATATTAAGAATTTGGTTAAAGATGGTTCAAGAGAATTGTGTCAACATTTTAATTAGAGAACTGTAACCCCAGAAGCAATATAGTAGAACAATATGTATACAGCATGTTTTTTTTTTTTTTTCCTGAAAGTTGTTACTTGATGAAAAATGACATTTGCCTGGTGGCCATTGCACCTGCTAATAACTTACAAACAACTTCTACTCAGTTCAGCGCAGAAGCTGTCATTAATCTTTGTTTTAAAAGGGAAGTAGATTTAAAAGACACAAATGAATGCAGTTTGGTATTTATTAATACAATGTTAAATGTTTTTATCTAATGAAAACAGTGTAATTACATAAATTTGACCTGACCTGGGAACTTTGTAGTTTCTGTACAGCAGAGGAAGAAGCATCACAATGAGCCAATCAGTTCATGCGCTGACCAAAAAAACATACATGATAGGAGAAAGAAAAGTGACAGAAATAAGCTCAGCACTATGCTGCTTCTCCTTTCACTGTCCAGTTACAATCTGGGGCATGTTTAGGACACCTTGGGCTCTGAATTAGGTTAAAGGGTAACTCCACTTTTGTGGGAAAAAATAGCAAATAAAATATAGTGTCTACAATTGCAATTCAAGTAATATTGTAATAGAATGTTATTAAAAATTACCTTT